CTCCCACACACACACACGCATTCACCACCGTTCTTCACTCTCCCCGTATCCTCCCTACTTTCCATCCGACATCATTATACACTACTCATCTTTTTCAATATTGCCATTATATCCGCTTTTTACGGCGAACCTGTGTTGTTATGCTGAATCCAACTTCTCTTTCGTTTCGGGACATGGGTTTTAGCTGTATTGTGCGGGCTTTTTTCGTCATTCACAAAACGGTTTTCCCATTGATCTGGCCATTCTGACAAGAAAGTGGGCAATCAGTATTCGTTCTTCCAGAAGCTTTCTATCTTTAGTGTGTTCCGCGATTATGATGGTAATGATGGAACTATTGCTCTTTTGTATAGTCCTCTGTCTATTTGCTTTTTGTCGGTCTCTTTCCTTCATCGTCACTCGCTTTTGGCTTCCGTTTCTTCTCATCGAGCTTTTCTCTTTTGCCTGAGATATGCGACACTTGATGTTGACAGGACACAGACAAACAAAACACTTTGCTGCCTTTTTCTGTTCTGTTCTTTTTGTTTGATTAATCGTGTAAAAGGTTCGCTGCTTCTGCTCCGCTGCTCCTCTCGAATTTTTTCTGTCGTTCACACACCACGCTGATGATCGCCTCATCCGCTTCCGTCTGTCTATCTCCTCTGAAGCACGTGTGTTCGATTGCACGTTTCTTTTTCCCCCAGCTAACGCGCTAAAGATTTCTCTCGTTTCACTATCGCCAGTTTTGACAAATCACAACCAGTCTTTCCGTCCAACTATCTACACACATTCTTCCTTCTATTATGATTTTTGGCGTGTGGGATCATTGTAGGAACTCTTTTATATTCTTTGGGATTGAATTTACTAGAGGATGGTGTCTGTATGGATGCACTTTGTCGGGCTAGTGGTTGGACAAAGCTTTCGTGCGTTTGCGGTAGATTAAGTGTGACGCATTTAAAGGTTTCAAGCATAAACTAGCAGTTCCAAAGTAACACGCAAATCATCATGTGCCTATACTGTTCAGGTGCATCTTGCTTATCCGTATTTGAAATCTTCACTGTGCTGCTGCTTCCCGATTTTCTGCATTTGTTGAACCGATGACTAACCAGCAACCCAAGTCAGCACATGATATCGTAAGTTCCGTTACTGTATATACGTTATTGGTCCCATCCTCATTCCATATTCAGCTCATCAAGTTGGCGATGCTGTTTGTCAAAACAAATAACTATACTTTCCAATGAACACTGGCATGATATCATCCGCAACTCATGAAATAAAACTTTTGTGTATGGGTAACAGCTTGAACGCATTATGTTTTAGATAGTTCAGCGGGCTATTGGGAGGACTTTGTGGTACGAAAATGCGAGTGGCTTTCTTTTCGTAATTGCAAGTTTCCCACATCGAATGTGTTCTCAGTTTCAGTCTGCGGGAAACTTTCGGTTCATTCTACGTTACGCATGCGTTCTGCATTCGGTTTGCCCTGATTGTTATGCGCCAGTGGCTATCCCTCATCTAAGCGCATCGCTCTGACGGTGTTCGAGACGCACACGGTTTCTTTGTGCTTCCATTCGAGAACTCGAATAACCTTTTTGACATTCTCCTTTTTCACGTGATTAATAGAGAATTTTGAATCAATTTCAACGGGGAAGTTTGTCGTGTATATAAAAAATGAAACGTGAACTGAAAAGCTAAGAAGCACTGGACAGCTGTCTCGACCTGGTTGGGTCTCATCAACCCAACTGGGGATCCAACCCGGAATCTCTAAGGCAGAACGCAAGCATGCTACCCACTCAGCCATCTAGCAGCTGATTAGACCGATTTTCATTTTCCATTTACACGATAAAGAACAACTCATCTTTGCGACCTTGTTGTAGACCACGGACCTCGCTCATTTCAGCAATAGCTTCCGGGGGTTATGACTCGGTTGGAAACATTCACAACCTAACTCCTTGTTTCATGCGAGTAATGGAGAATTTGATTCAATTGCAAAGGGGAAAGTCGTCTATGTGGCATATGAAGCGTGAACTGAAAATCTAGGAAGCACTGGACAAAACTGCTGATGAGACCCAATCAGGTCGAAACAGCTCTCCAGTACTTCCTAGCTATTCATGTCGTGCTTCATTTGCTATTCTCTTTTTTCACGAGTAGATCGCCATGTAATGTGAAACGACCGTGAAACAATGAGTAGTACATGAACTACTGCACAAAATTTCCCTGGAAGCACACGACCGGTTTGGCGGTTCTTGCCAGGCATGCGTATCCTGTAATCTGTTGTCAATTCATTCATATATATATATCATCGCAATAACTTTTTGAGACTTGTTCGTCTCAAATCTACTCCCCGAGCTGAAAATGAGAATTGCATTGCACAATGAGTTTATATTCATCGCAGAAACCAAAGGAACACTTGCCGATGGTTGGTCACGATCACCAAAGGACGTTGGGGCTAGTTTTTTGCACGGTCCAAGTAGGAGTAAACAATTCGCCGCCGTTCTGACGTGCATGAGTTGACCTTAACTTACCTATCTCCACCAATTACACGATACCTCATGCTCACTGCATCTCCATCCCCGGGTTGATAGTCATAACGGTCCCCTCACTCTGGATAATGTTGAGGTGCCGTTTCTCACATCTTTGTGTAAATCGGTGGCGATTGTATTGCTGACCGAGTCGTTAATTTCAAGAATTGGATTTTGAAGTTCGAAGGTTGTATCTGGACCCTACCATTTAAGTGATATTGGATAACCTCGCTCACATCTGCTGCCATACTTTATCCATCTACCTGGGTTGGGTTGTTGGATTCATCTCTCTTAGTCTCAAGGTTTCGGTTGTCAATTTTCATGATCGTGTTATTGGTTCTCTTGACTATGAAATTCACACATAAGTAGCTAAAAAAGATAACGGCGTTAACCCGCATCCCGATTATCTCGTTTGTGATGTGTGGAGGCTGTAGTTTTCAATTGCGCATCAAATTGCCTTCCACATGGTACTGATGGTTGCGAACGCCTAGTGTTTTGGTTGTTCCCCGGGCTTTTCAATAGAACCTCCGTGGTGGTGATTTTTCGGTTAAGTATTTCGCTTTGTCGTTGATTTTTAATTTACACTAAACAAATCTTCACAAAACTGTTCTCTTCGGTGCCCTTCCCTGTGTTCTCCGTATTTGTATACATTTTCGTCTTACGTTAACTGGAAAGCCATTATTTGAGAACACCGTTTCTCTGGTATCCGTTTGCACGGACCCAATTTATTCAAAACCAGAGCATTTCGTATTAAAAGCAGTTCTTTATTTCCTTGTTGGTTTGTGCACAACCGAAATAGTCTATCGTCCTCCACGTGCACGGGGCTCATATGCGCAAACCTGGGAGGTCGGGTCCTATTGTTTGTCTACTACTAACTAAACTCACTGACGACATTCTCGGAGAGGCCACTTTCTCTTCTCGGTGGGCAGATGCCCCAGATACCGATCCTGATACTCGGTAGTTTCCGGCAGACTGGCCAAATAGCATTTCTGATTCTCGTCACACATCTCATAATGAGCAAATGTGCGTTCGGGCAAACCGTAGAGAAAATTCGGATTCCGGCCGTTCATGACAGTCGATTTGGACCATGTCCGTTGGTCTGGAAATATGTTTTAAAACGAGCAAGACCAATTCGCAAATGCGTTTGTCAATTTTGGGTAAAAAAAGACAGATGTTATCGATAATTCTCCCAAGAAAACCAACTATATCTTCAAACTGACGCATTTATGAGTCGTAGTGTATCGATCTTTTCTCCCGATCAGAGTTCGGAGCGCAACCTCATTTCCTTGAGCTACACAGACGGTGGTGAGTTTTTAACTTTTTTAGTAGATTTATTACCATGGTAACAAGTTACGCCATTCCATACGGTTCATGCAGTCCTTGTCAGAAGTGGCAAATGAAACAGACTGAGAAATTGCCCTGGTTACACAATGTGCTATCGCATCGTTTTAGTTTAGATGCAGCTGTGTTTCGGTCCGGATAAAGATAATTTAATCCAACTTATAAAATCTGTTTGGCTTTCTCGGTCACCGTAAAAACACTAAACATGTAAAATGGTAAGGGATTGTGTGTTGGAAAGACCCAAACCTAAATAATTAATAAGCACAAACGTTTAACACATGACGGAAAGAATATGAAACATGAGGCCGGCAAAGCAAGTCAACGCAATAAATTCAGATGATGCATTTCGGACATAAAAATATGAACATAAGGAGTTTATAGTGTCATTTGTCCACAACGTAACACTCACATCAAAAACTGTAAATTGGATACTGGATAGCTGATCCGGCTAGTGAGGAATTGATAGTTCCCCTAAGTGAAATCCTAAATGATTTGCTTGACATGGCTTCATCTGAATGTGGTGACGGGATGCAAGTAACGTCTCCCATCCAACTCGGCGTTTCTCAACTGACTATTTCTGGTATAAGGTCAGTAGTCTCACAACATAAGAAACCAGTTACATTAATTAATTCATCCCTGCAATTATCAGGAGAGTAATTAGTGATTTCTGTGGAACTGTATGGTCGTTGAACTTCAATTTTCATAATTATTTCTACGTAAACTTTACCATCTATAATAAGAAACTCATAAAACGAACGTTTGTTCATAAATTAAGTTTCAAGTGGGAATTCATCGTGCATATAGCAAATGATATGTGAAGTGAAAAGCTCGGAAGCTCTGGACAGCTGTTTCGACCTGGTTGGGTCCCATCAGCAATGGGAATCCACCGACCCGACTGGGGATCGAACCCAGGACTTCATGGGCAGAACGCAAGCGTGCTACCCACTGCACCAGTGAGCAGGTGATCAAACCGTTTTTCATTTTCCTTTTGCACGATATAGCACAACCCATCTTTGAACGTTTGTTGGGGGCCACGGACCCTGCTCAAATCAACACTAGTCTCCGGGGTTATGACTCGGTTGGAAACATTCACAACCTGACTGATTATTTCATGTGAGTAATGGAGGATTTGATTAAATTTCAAACACGACGAATTCCCATTTGAAATTTAACCAAATCCTCCATTACTCACATAAATTAAGTAGCAATTAATTTGACATTTTCGTTTCTTCCGATTTGAGTCGATAGAAATTACACTGTGGTATTCATACTGTTATTGTATTGGAAGTTCGTTATCGTTCCACCCGACGCACGTCTCTTATTAGCTGATAAAAGTGTCTGTAATGGCCGGCAAACAGCACCGGACGAGTGGTAACTTCTCTGGACTCGTCCACAGTGTTTACTATCGTCGTATCCCTGCCAGGACTCGAACAGTGTACTCACAAATTGGTAGCGTGAACTGCCATCCCGGAGCTGGGTGATCGATGGACTAAACAATTGTATGCTGACGAGTCCCAAAACAGGACGAAACAGCTATCCAGTGCTCTTTGTTGTTTATCACAAACATTTCCATCCCATTTGTATGCACTTATGTTTACTGAAAAGCTATCTCAGTAAATTGAATATCTTTGAAGCGCACCGGTTTGCTTTCGTCTTTTGAAAGTGTCAGCAGAGATCGAATTCTTCACCCACCAAACCAATATCGTCTGGTGTTATCCACCTCGACTATCACAGAATATTTCCATCGTTTGGCGTAAGTGATCAACAATGGGTCGACGAGATTTTCACAAAATGGGTACATCGGCTTCATCATGCTAACTAATTCCATTGACTTTCATCCCTATCTTTTGTCACCAGTTAAGGTAAATAACGTATGTTCTACTTGCGTGACGGAGTTGATTGCGTCTGTGAAGTCATGCTTCTAACCCTAAGTGGTCTCTAGAATGTTGGAAAAACCATGATACATTTTCACATTTATTAAAACACAAACACGCTCCCAATCGCTCCTTATTCTATGCTCATTCGGGTCTATCCATGAACTGCAACATAAATAGTTGTGAAACACTTTTGTGCACTGACATTAAAGACTACACCATACAGGAACAACTTTCTAGTATTTTTTGAATACACACCTTCATGTTCGATGAATACCAGAGTTGATGAACCACGTCATTGCGAAGACCTATTGTTTAGTGTTGAAAACCGACTGTTGTGAAATACTACTCACTTGGGAGTAGTACACAAAAAGATAAGATCAGCGGTTTCTTTCAATGAAAACCAACCAAAAATGAACAGCACCTGTTGGAGCGACTTACTGCCGTTCGGCATGGTGAATACAAGAATGCGCATCTGATAGTGGACCGTTCCATCAACTATCCGGTGTGTGTGCGGGAATTCTGCAAACTTGTTCCAGATGAGATCTTTTGTTGTATGAATGACAATTTAACCATATCCTGACCGTTATGAGCAATAAACATCTATCCTCGACCAGGCCTTGTGGAATTATAACTCTGGCAACCAAAGCCCCATGACTATTAGTGGCGAGCGACATAAGAGCCCGCAAAGTTATACTTAGAATTGAACCGGACGGCAGTAAAGCCGTCTACCACCAGTTGGTTGGTAGTGGCAGGATTAAAACGTCGGAACATAGGGCCCAAAGCACGCCCGTGGCAGCGAATAAACCGTTGCAACACCACCACCTCTAGTGGATTGAAAAATATTGATACAACTCATCACATGATCGGTATCGTCCATCACGGCCCGTGTTCTATTTTATAAAAGCGTGTCTACCTATTTCACAAATAAGTTTTACTTTACACAAGTCGTTTCGCGATACTAAATTTTCAAAATGGAGTGAATACAAATAAAACCTACAAGTGAAACAGGAACGCGAAAGTTGAGCCCAAGTATGACTGGTAGGCTGATGTATTTCACTCACTTGGATAACGAGGAGCGTAGTAACCCGGTACTGCTCTTCCATTGGCCATTGTAATCGGTCCAATCAGATTGGTCGGTGGGCGGCGGACTAATTCGATTCCATGAAAATCTACGATTGACTCTGTGTGTAAATGTTTTTTGATTTTTTCACCTTTCATCAAAACCACAAAACATATCGATTAGTACCGTTGGGTTAAGTTCAGTGCGTTTTTCTCTGTATGCATTCAAACTGTTGGGTTAAAAATAGAAACTATCGTGTTGTACAAACTATAGGTCACTAATAATGAGACGTTTTCCCTTAATCCTTGTTCGTTTTTATACACCTGCTTGTATTTATTCAAAAATCTTTGAATGTTCTTTCTATAGCCTTGGCGTATACCTGATTAGAGTTGCTGGTGATGTGCTCACATGTTTTATGCTTGTACAACGGCCAACTAGTTTGATATATTTTTAGTTATGGGTACTTGGAACTTTCATTTTTCTGTATTTAAATACGGATAAATTAGATCATAACAATATGTTGGAACTGTACAAATAATTCCGAACAAAAGGCTTTCAATGCATTCAAATTCTTGAATGAACTGTTATAGCTCTTGAGCAGGTTCCCTGTAAGCTGATCTGTCAAGGTTGTGCTTCTGGACCTGAAGAGGATAGCGTCTGTATTCTACAACATAAATTCATAGTAAAGCTGGAAAATCCAACCATTGGGAGTGCTTTTGAATTTCCAGTTTATTAGCTGTTTGGAATGCAATTCACTCATGAATGCTGGCTACTCTTCTATACAATGTGCGCTCCACCGATAGAAATATGGGGCCACAGGGATCGCCAGCTTCTTTTCATCTTTGATTATGGAAAGGGACGAGAAACGCCGGTTGGCAGATAAACTTCCTGTGGAATACCACTAGCACCTTGAGAGTGCATGAATACCAGTATTTCTATCCAAGTCGTTGCTGGTAACCTACTTCCTTATGGTCATGACTTAATTTGACTACCGCTTCGTTTACACTGGTGTTCATCTGGTAAGAAAACAATTACGTAATTAACTTTTCATATTCGACACTTACTTTTCAGATCTAGATTGGCAAATTTTGAACGCTCACTTAGCGCGCAGTGCTTTATTGTCTTTTATTACTATTCACTCCTATATCATATATTAGAACTCCACTATCATTGATCCGGTCGAGCTCATACTGTTTAGGTCACCGTCACATAAACTAGGAGATTGGGGATTCGAACCGCAACACCGCGGCCCGAATGTGACTTTCCTTCCTGCTACAGAAGTGCTTACTCGGCTGCTGTCTCTTTCCGAAAGTTGATTGTAAAACTACATCCAATAAGAAAAAGCAATGTTATGATTATTATTGCCTTCATTATTGACCTGTGGGCGATTAGTTCTGGAGCATTTTTGTTTCGTCCTTCAAGTTTATAGACTGGTTTTACAAGTTGGTATCACTAAATCGTAGCAGTATCACGTTATGCACTAATTTTCTCCTATGGTTTGCCTTTGCACTAAAACAGCACTGCCGCTCCTAGTTTCCACTTGTACACACGGTATGTTAAATTATTACGGCATGGTTCCCGAAATACGAGCACTCATTGATTCAAAACATTGTACACTATAAATTTAATTCATTTTCTTAAGGTTAATTAAACCATGCAGATGTGCTTGTCGACGCGTGCGTTGCAATTTTTCTAGTAAAAGGTCAAACTTCATTCTCGATCAAAAGTTTTGAATGACATGAGCAAAACCGAATCGGAAGATACAATATCATCCCACAAACATTCTTCACTTCTTTTCTCTTTGAACTTACCCGCTTTGTTCGGTGGCCAAGGGAAATATGCACCAGGGCGAGAACCATCGTGATTCAATTGCGGAACTCGTGACCACAATTCTCCGATGTATTGTAGGTTTTGGGATCTACCATAGAGATTTTCTCCTTTGATTGTATAAGTAAAGTGGTTTCGTGCGAACCTTTTGTCTTTTGAAATCGGAGAACCGCGGGAGAAAAGAACGGATGCGTCCTATATTTTGATTCAGAGGCGAGGATGAGGATGATGGTATATTTAGTTTTGTCAGTTATCCGTTAGATGAGATTTTGTTATTTATTCAGCCTTACCGATATCAAAAGGATAGCTGAACTACTCCATATTTTACCCCACGGGTAGCTGTGGTGAATGCTCTATACCACAGAAATTTAACGTTCATTTTGCCTACACCAATCAATTCAATTGAGCGAAATTCTAAAGTATTCAAATTCAACATTTTGCCGTGATCCTCTAGGATCGTTGTTATTCGTATGTAGGCCTGTAAAAACTCTTTTATCCGTATTTATCAATGTTGAAGAATATACATACCAAATTACTTATATCTTAAACTAAATCTCTGGCACTACATTGGTTGTATCCAGTATATTTTAATGATCATGCACTGTTATTTTGTTGGTGGTTGACAATTAAAGGTTTTGGAACTGATGTCCACTGTAACACAACTATATTAAGAAAACTACATACTATCGGAGGTAAAGCGTCATTTTGATCATCTGAGGCGCCATCGCGATATTCGGCTCTGTCCAAGGTCTAGCGTTTGTTTCGGCAGTTCATCCGGTTCTGCATTACAATGCAGAGTCTTGACCAGTACGGGAACAACATCATGATAGACTATCGGTGTTCAGCCACCACTATCTACACCGCTGCGCACGAGTCTGATGGAGAACCGGACCAGCAATGCTGAGTTTTAGATAATCAGTGCGGTGAGTGGCCAACCTTGGTAGATTACTTTGGTCGATGAATGTATTATGCATGCCACCAAATAGACTTCTACGGCGTGCGGCGTTTTATGAGGCAGAAAGTGAATGAAAAAAGCCAAGGGAGGTCAAACTGATACCTGATCTGAGGGTATGAAAACCCCAACTAGAAGAATCGGTCAAATACATGATTTTCTGCGTCCCAGATAGGGAATTCAATATCAGTGTAAGCAATTATTATAGAAAGCGAGTGGTACGGCTGAGCGTCGCAAATAGTTAAACTAGTGCATTTTTGCAGTCTTTTTGTAATCTGAGCATAATTTCTATTTTTTATTATTTTTCCCCTATTTCCTTCCTGATATTGCTTTCGACGTTCCAGTCTTCGTTGTTTTTATCTTAATGGGCAGCTGAAAGACAAGAACCAAGACCGCTGCACGAAAATGCCTGATCAATAGTTTCAAAAACTGAAACTGTGTGCGTTACATTTTTAGGAAATGCTACAAATTCTTCCATTCATTCTAGATCAAAAGCGCGTTTTAGGTAACGCAGGTTGCATCTTTATTCTGAACAAAGGTACTACCTTTGTTCTGAAAAATGGTTAACCTAGACTACTCTTGATGAGATAGTTATAATTAGGCAGTATATGGAGAAACTGACACAGATAAATGAATGTTCCACAAAGAGATGTTAGTTTCTGTTAAGCACTTGATTTGTCACTTTTAATAATTCATCTTCGGATTTGCTTTTTCGAAAGCCCATTACATGTAATTTTCTAAATGAAATAGCTTTTTCGTCATTTGACCCTAATCATTTAAGCGGCAACGATTTAAGGTAGCAATACATTAATGTATCTAATAGGGTTTAGGTTCACAGGAGAACACCCGGGAATAATTGATGGACCTTATAAATTAAAGCTCCTTATCAACCCCCACTTCGGGGAAGTTGTAATGATGATGTTGCCTTGCCCGACTAAGAAACATCTATATAAACAACAATTTTAGCTCAGATAACCCACCAACACCATTTGCACCCCAAACTACAACCATTCTACATCGTATTCAAAATCTTTGTATCTCAAACTACTACATTTTTAGCGTGATCAGATGATCGGAATTTCTCATCTACGCACCTCTCATTATTTTCATTTTACTGAAGAGATACATTTACTGTAGACAGGTTTAAAACTGCTATCTTGAATAACCTCATTTAAGGTTGTTGTCATAAATACTAGAATAAACCTAGCTTAGTAAAACTATTTCCTACAGTATTGGACGGTAAGCGAGGGCTCGCTGTTACCTTTCAGTGATTCTGTCTGTTTACATCACCTACCAGCTTGGAAAGCGTTTTTCACTTGAAATATAAGTGCACATGCACTTTCAGTTTCAGCTTTTGCAATCATTAACCATACACTCTGGTGCGTCACTTTTGGTTTCTGTCCTTTGGCCACCCATTTGGATAAAAGAGAAGATTGAAGATTGGAATGTTAAAAACCGATGCAAATTAAAGACAGAGAATTCATGCAGACTGGTGTTAAGGGAATAATGAGTGGATGAGCGCCGCTGTTTACGACACCATTGACCTTTTTCCAATCATTTCCTGCCTCGGCAAACACCGCTTGCCGTAGCAACCTATCTGGTGACGTGCGTAACACATGTCCCAACCAACGTAATCTATGGAGGTTAACTGACTGCTCCAGTGGTTTCAATATTGTTACAGCCATCTCCTCCTTTCGGAAGGACACTGTCCTCAGTGTCAACTGTTGTAAAGTTTTTGACAACGCCGCCTTCAGATGGTACTTCCGTGTACAGTGCCGGCGGTTGATCAACAACTGTACAAGATGGGGATATACCTTCTGTCGTTGGTGCGGTGCGGTTTTAGCTGGTTGTAGTGGACGTTGAGTGCGTCCACTTGCGCCTGTTGTGGATTGCGTAGCACATAAACGTTAGATGAGCGCTGGTGGACAACAACAATATATCGTCCCTGTCATGGTTGATGGAATTTCTGAGATGTACCTGGTGCGGAGCGTTACTGATACAAAAGCACTAAGTCCCCTCCAGCGAATCTCAGTTTTAGTTTCACTTACTTTGTCTACTGTATATGGCTTTTTAAAAAAGTTAATTTCGTTGCAAGAAGATGCATCGTAATTAACTTCATAAACTGAAGCTTATATTTACTTTCTGAAATTATTGTTACCAAATAGCAAATTTAATATCAGCTATGGAATCTGTTTGTTAGCAGTACTTTCTAGTTAAATCATGTTGCACACGATTGGCAATGCCGACAGCCAAATGGAAGTCTAAATTTCTTTCTGTAATATACTTACAATGAACGCATTCACCACTAGTCCCTTCTAGTTTGACATCCTCGTTGAAAATTAGGATGTAGATTCTATCTCATTTAAGCTCCTTGGCGAA